CTCCACAGTGGCAGTGACGGCTTCCCTACGGGCAAATGGGTCTTCCGATGCTTTCGATGAAGTAGTCTTTCAACAAAATCTTACAAGGCATAAGGGTGTATTTGTAATTTATCAAAATATTACTCCCTCCGTCCCAAAAAGGTTGGCCAATTTGACTTTTCTTGGTCAACGGTTATCAACTTTGACCAATAATATCTTTTAATACAAAATTATTTGAAATATGAAAATTATATGAGCTTATTCTTTATCAAAAGATCTTTCATATATATATAATTTATAAATTACACATATATATAATGCCTAAAATCATTGTCTAAACTTTAACACCATTGACCTAGAAAAGTCAAATTGGCCCACCTTTTTGGGACGGAGGTAGTATATCTCAAATCACTTTTTATCAAACACTCCAACTTTTATCATTTAATAAAAATCACTTCTATTCCCAAACACTATCTACTTTTACTTAAACTCACTTTTCCAAAAATCTCTTAAAAAATTCATTTTTTAAAAGCGCAAGCAATCACAAACACTCCCTTAATACCGTGTGTATTTGGAGGACACAAATGTTATTGGTAAACATATTTTGTACACATTTTATGTACACTCGTTCAAAAACTGTCTAAAAATGAGCCAAACATGTCTCATTTGGGGGATGTGCTGAATTATCAAGATAAATGGATTTATGTGGTCAATATTAATTAACTTAATGAAGTAAAATAAAAAATAAAAAATGATTTAAAATTGTACAAAATTACAATTATTGTTAATTACATAAATATGATCAAAATAAAGATTATTTACAAAAATATGACTAGTGACTAGAGTAGTAATGAAATCATAGTAATTCATGTTCAAGTTTTGAGCTTAAGTTACCACAACACCACATTGTAGTAATGAATAGTCATATTTATGTAAATATGTTTTATTTTAGTAATATTTTTGAAAAAATCCCATAAGACAATCTTAATGGACCACCAAAATAGAAATATGGGACAATCTTAGAGTAACGTGAGTATTTGATTAGGTATGTTGCACGCATACATTCAAACGAGGAAGCATGTACTCTCTCCGTCTCTTAACTTGGCAAAGTTTGACTCATACAACAAATCATAAAGCAAAAACTAAAAACTACGTGACTACGATTTGTGAACAAGAGAGAAAAAATAACAGTAATCACAAATTTAGAACTCATTTAGTAACTCTAAAAAAGGCTGAATCGGCTGATTCTGCTGAAATGTATGAAAATTATAAAATTAACAAACTTAAATAAAATAATAATAAATGTAAAAAAAATGCAAGCCTCTATTGCTGCCTCAACAACCTCCCAGCATCACCAACTCCAAACACTTGAAAAATGTCAACATGTGTTAGTAATGCCATCTTGATGACAATTCTAGAGAAAATCTTGCATTTTCAAAGACTAGAGATATGTTATCTTCATGACATTTTCAGAGAAAGTGACATTTCCGACAATGATGACTCAGGTTATTGGGCCATCCATTCGTTTATGGATGAGGTTGTCCGAACTCCGAAGTCGGATTTCATTTGGGCATACGCTGCGTGAAGGGAATTGGGCGACACAACACAAACATATCAGGATAATGTCATGAGCCATTTTAATATTCATCATACGGTGGACGAGATTCCTCTCTCAACCCGGAAATATTACTTTGCAAATCTTTTTGGGTATCGTTATTTTAGATTTTAATGTTTGTTAATATAAGGGGTCAGGTTTTAGCCCCCCCTCCCCATTAGGCTTTTAATTCCTCTCGTTTGTACTTTTTAATTATTTTAATAAAATATGTTAAATGTTCATCGACATTGACCACACCGATGGGTGGACATACTATCGGGACAAAAAAAAAAAGCATCAATCAGAGGTGACGTTACTGGGAGATGCATAGGTTGTGGGAAAGACCTCCATATTTTTTTAAAAATATTTTTCAGTGATTTATCTGTATAGGACTAAATGGACTTTCATGTGCACAAATAGGACTCTAAACAAGAGTAATGTTTTGTGAGACTAAAAACAGCCTGACTTTCCAATTTTAGCCTCCAAATAAAATTGATTGCTTCATTACGTAGAGAGAAGGTTTCCGTTTTTTAAGTAAAAAAAAAAGTCAATTTATAATTTATAATTAAATAATTGAAATCCATTTGAAACCCTAAATGTGAGCCGTGACATGTAGCAGTAGCACTGCCACCACCACCTTATCTGTCATCGTCGTTGCCGCCGTTTCCGTCGCCTTCCCCGCTGGTGCTACCATCCGTCGTCGCCCAAAGCAGCGCCACCATCCTCCGCCGCCGTCACCTTTTAGCAAAATTACTTTGAGGGTCAATGTTGAGGCCACCACTGCAACTCCAAACACCATTACCACCGTCAGAACACCAAACCCATAAATCTGCCATTAAGTTGGCATATTGACCTTCAAGGTAAATTTAAAATCTGTTGTTCATATGAACTTTTAAGTCTGTTTAAAATGTTGGAAGATTCTTCTTGGACGAATAACACAAACGTAAGAAGTCAACAATCAAATATTCGAGAAATAATTTTTAAACGAAAAAACACTTTAACACAGTCGAAAACAGATACATGAAGCTAATGAAAAAAATATGTAAAACCGATTTAAACAAAATCTATTTTGCCATATACGATTGTCAGTGTGCACATTTCTGCCATAAATTAGACAAAATTTTATGCCATTGTTTAAAATTTCAGAAAATCATTTTTTTTAAGTAAGAAATATAAAATGGAAATACGAAAATATAGGTCTAAATATCAGAAAAATGATTCCCAAAACTTTTAAAACAGATAAAAAGGAGGAAATTAGAAAAGTCAATGTTAAAACTCATGAGGAGGAGGAGGGTGGAGAGAAAAAGAAGAGGATAAACTTGAAATATAGATGATATGACGATGGTGGAAGGTAGAGGCGGCGAAGGAGGAGGCAACGGAAGCGGATGAGACGAAGGAAAAGGCAACGAAAGCGGAGGCGGCGTGGGGTGGAGGCGGCAAAGTTACAATATCTTTGCTGAATGAGCTACAATGAAGGTATTGATGGATCTAAGGCAGGGAGAGAGGGGAGATAAAAAAGTAAATAAGTCACGTGTAAAACCGGGATGCTGATTTCTCCATGTTCCATAATAGGAGTAAATTGGTCTTATTTGGGGGAAAGATAAAAAGTCATCTTTTTGCATTTTACCTAGTCTTACTCCTATTTAGGGGGGTAATTAATAAATATCTTTTATGTGTTTTCCCTATTTTTTTTTTATTTTTAAAGCCTTTTTTAGTTTTTTTTTTAGTTTTTTTAATTTTTATTACTCGTAGTTAATTTTTAAATTTTTTTTTTACGGTTTTATAAAAATTTAAAAAACGTTTTTATAATTTTTATGTTTATTATTACAAATTAAAATATGATTTTTGTATTAAGTTACGGAGATGACTAAATGAGAAGATAGAGTATATTTCAATCCTATTATTCGGAGATAAACATCATAGTCACATTTTTATCATTTAGGGATTAATTTTCTTCTATTTAGCGTTATTAGCCCCTAAAATTAGGGAAAACAGTCCTAAACATGACTAACATCAATATAAATGCACAAATTGGACCATGTTGTTTATCTTTCCAAAATAGGAGTATACCATGTTTTATCTTGCTATTGTACCCTTACCATAATTTAATAGGAAACTATATTTTAATTTGTAGTAAAAACATAAAATTAATAAAATATAATTTGATTTATAATAAAATCATAAAAAATATAAAAAAGTTTCAAAAAATTCAACCAATAATACCAAAATAAAAATTACAACAAATAATTTTTATAATAAAATAGAAACTTAAAAATAAATGAAACACGTAAAATAATATAAAAAAATTACGGAAGCCTACCTTAGCAATGTCACATTTGATCGGTGAAAAAGTTCCATTTTGGTTCTTATGTAAATGCTAGGTAGATTGACATTTTTACTATTTAGATATGTCAAATTTTCTTCTAAAATTGTCATCAAGATGACATTAGTGACACATGTTTGCATGTTTTTGGATGGTCAAAGCTAGTGGTGTCAGGAGGTTGTTGGCTGCAGAGGCCTGCATATATAATTTTGCTTTTCATGTGTTTTATTTTAACTTTTAAAACTTTTTTGTTTTATAATTCTTTTTGTATTTTTCTAATTTTTATTTATTAATTTTATTTGATATTTATTTTCTTGTTTTATATGTTTTTACATTTTCCTTATAAATAAAGTTATTGGGAAAACTTTCAATTTGGTCTTACTACTATCTCAAAAAACGTTAATTAGGTCTTCATAATTTAAGAAAATCAATCAAATTACAAATTTTGAAAAAACGTTTTATTGAGTCAATTAGCAGGTTATCTTCCAAGTCAACATGTTACGTGCTGATGTGGCATACACATGGAGCTCCACAGGTGCTCACCTACATCATTGTGAACTAGCCGACAAGGCTTCCAGGTCTGCGCCACTTTAACAAAGCCAATGTTAACTGGGTTGCGGCATGTGTGCTACATCAGCAGGTGACATGCAGATGTGACAAATAACTTACTAATCGACTGAATTAAATGAGTTTCCAAAATTCGAAAATTTGATTGTTTTTTAAAACTACGAATAAATTAATTGACGTTTTCGTGATAGTAATCTTATGTACAAAAGTTTAAAGTTGTACTCTTATTCTTGCAATAAAATTTTAATTTAGGGAATTCATCTAATAGTTTGTTTGGTGACTCTGTTTTTCAACTTATAAGTCAACTTTTTAATCAAATACGTTATTTCTGATTTCACGCGCTGAATTATGTAATAATAAGAGAAACGGTTGACATTACTTTTCTGTAATGTCCGAAATTACAAATTTTGTAAATGATCAATTTAACAATTTTTCCATATATTTTTCCTTAATTTTATGAATAAAATATATTTTAAATCATATATCAGCATAATCAACCGTTCACGAGCATACATAGTACGACTGTAGGAGTATATATATTCGACGATTATTAAATACAATTTCGTACTCCCCTGTATTAAATACACTGATTGATGCATACAACCACTCATTCCATCTTCATCTACTCCACTTTTTTCTTTCTTTAAATTCTTATCTAGAGCGGCTGGCGTGCCGTCCTCCGCCACTGCCATAGCCGCGAGTCAAGAACCAGCTCCGGACATGGACGCGTCAAACGGCTCCGTTTACGAGCCCTTGATGGGAAGCGATGGGGCAGCTCTATCCTCCCAAGCAGAGCACCAAACCAGCAATGAGCTTGAGAGCATCCTTCTCGACACGGAAATCCCACGGTGGCAGCGTCTCAAGCTCGCCACGTGGATCGAATTGAAGCTCCTTTTCTACCTCGCCGCCCCTGCCGTCATCGTCTACATGATCAACTACCTCATGTCCATGTCCACCCAAATCATCTCCGGCCACCTCGGGAATCTGGAACTCGCCGCCGCTTCCCTCGGCAACACCGGCATTCAGATCTTCGCTTATGGTCTCATGGTATGCCCGCCCAAACAGGGCCCACCCTTTTCGGTCAAACTAAACCCGCGTCGTCACCTTTTCTTCTGTGCCCAAACAGAGCTTAAAAGAGTTTCAGCTTTCAATATAAAAGCACCTTTTGATTTAATTTAACCTAGATTTAGTCAATTCTACCGTCGATTTGTTTTTCCATCTGACATTAAATTGATTAATTATTTCTTTGATGAGATGGTTGATAGCTGGGCATGGGGAGTGCAGTGGAAACACTATGCGGACAAGCTTTCGGAGGAGGGAAATACGAAATGCTGGGAATATACCTTCAACGATCGACCGTACTTCTGACTATAACCGGAGTTTTCCTTTCTTTAGTATATATCTTCTCGGAGCCGATCCTGGTATTCCTCGGACAGGCGCCGGACATAGCGTCGGCGGCGTCCCTGTTCGTGTACGGACTCATCCCCCAAATATTCGCTTACGCCGTCAACTTCCCCATCCAGAAGTTCCTTCAGGCGCAGAGCATTGTGACGCCGAGCGCTTACATATCCGCCGCCACGCTGGTGGTGCACGTCATAGTGAGTTGGGTCGCCGTCTACAAACTGGGCCTGGGCCTGGTCGGGGCGTCGCTGGTGTTGAGCCTTTCTTGGTGGGTAGTTGTGATAGCCCAGTTTGTGTATATAGTGAAGAGTGAGAAGTGCAGGAAGACTTGGACCGGGTTCTCAATCCAGGCCTTCTCCAGCCTCTGGGGATTCTTCAAATTGTCTGCTGCTTCGGCTGTTATGCTCTGTTTGGAAACTTGGTATTTTCAGGTTCTAGTTTTGCTGGCTGGTTTGCTTGAAAACCCAGAGGTTGCCTTGGACGCTCTCTCTATTTGGTAAAATAAAATCCTCTTTCTTAGTTTCTTTCCTTACCCACATACGGAGTATAATAAACATTTGGTCTTTGCTTAGATGCGTACAAAATCCAAATACGTATTATTTGGATGTTTCTTCCAAGTCCTTGGAGCCATATTCGCCAGACAGAGTAAGTTAAGAAGTACGGAGTAAATAATATTGACCTTTAAAAAAATGGAGTAATTCCAAGAAAGAAAAGAAGAAAGAAGAAAAAGACAATTGGTTTCATTCAGTGGCAGATTTTATGGTTCAATGGTCCCCAAGTCTTCCAAGTGCAGTTTGTCATGCATTGGTTATGTGGATTTTATTTTTTTCTTCCTTTATAAAAGTAATTTAATTATATACTCCGTGTTTGATTACACTTGTAGTATATTTCCGATTTTTCAAAATAGTCCTACTTCAGCAATGTTCTTGGAGGGTTGTGTTAAAGAAAATGCTCTTGGAGTTTAGCCCAGATCAGAATAATTTATACAGCTCAAACTTAGATTTCTTCTGGTAACGTTATAATGGATTGAATTATGAACATGCTATATATTTAAAAATATATATCAATAAAAAGGAAAAGATGTATGCAAAAAGTTAGAGAGAATTCCGGAAATAATAGTAAAAACAGTGTAAAAATGCAAAATTGAAGTACTACATTTTCCTCTTAAATAGGAGTATGTTACTACCATAGTTTGGCATTACCAGACTTTAAATATGGTAGTATATTTTCATAAGTTGCAGTATTTTCAACTCTCGACAATAATTACTCTTACTTTGGGAAAAAACACAGTGTTCCTATTTTGGAATTTTAAATGTTTTTACTTCTATTCAGGACAATTTCTTAAAAAGTTAAAATATTTATCTTCGGCCAATGCTGTGAATGTAACTGCAGTCTTAGTAATTATGATTATTTAACGATTCAAAAGTTTAAGGTTTTGAAGAAAAGTTCGCTACAAGGCTAATGAGTCAAAAAAGGGTTGCCAAACGGGCACTTGACCAATTTAGCACATTCTAGTGTTGGCAAGTAGTAGTAAATATTCAGAAATTTCAGAGTCTACTTCAACAATGTTCAGTTCTTGGAGGGCTGTGTAAAAAGTTGTTCTTGGACTGTAGTTAAAACTATCTTATGTTTTTATTTTGAATATTTGCAGTACCACTATTTCTGGATGGGTTTTTATGATATCCGTTGGATTCAATGCAGCAGCAAGGTGAGAACACATAATTTGTCGGCTAGTGTTATATCATAATATGAAACTTTCCGTTTATGTGAAGTAGAAGTTGAATGCGCGCAGTGTGAGGGTGAGCAACGAGCTGGGAGCAGGACACCCAAAATCAGCAGCATTTTCAGTGGTGGTTGTGAATGTCATCTCTTTTATCATCTCAGTGATTCTAGCCATTGTCGTTATGGCATTGCGTGATGTTATCAGCTATGCGTTCACCGAGGGAGAAGTTGTGGCCAATGCTGTTTCTGATCTTACTCCCTTGCTTGCTGTTACTCTTGTTCTCAATGGAGTTCAGCCTGTTTTATCCGGTAACCATCACGAATTGCAAGCCTCTTTCTATTTTTTACCATTCATTTCTTTAGTAGTTGGTACATTTAATCATTTCTTAGTTTAAGGCGATCAAATTGGCCAAGCTCTCAAGTCCCACAACTATTTTAGGATTGCATTCTTTTTAAATTTTTGAAGGATTAGTAGACCTCATTTGACCAAACAATGAAAGGTCATATCTAAGTTTAAGATTACTTATTTGAGCCTTCTTTTGATCCATTAGAATGTTTAGAGCATCTCTAGTGCTCTAATGTACAAGCTTAAATCATCTTCAATACAACAAAATGCACAATGCACAATGCATGATGCACAATGCACAATCATGTTCATGAAAGAGACAAGCAATTATGAATTAATAAATTTTCTCTCCAAATTGTCAAGAATAATATCAATGCCTAGTCATTTTGTTTGAAATTGTGGAGCATGGTTACCAAAAATCACAAGACTGGAAAAAAAGAAGAGAATTGTATGTATGAATTTTCTTGAAAAATATTGTCACATTAACATGATACTATCATGTTAATGCTTGATAATGCATAATATAAGAGTATGATATTAGAATGACAAAATATCATAATACTCATATTGAGACAAACCATTTTGTTATTATTCATATTTTTGAAATTTCCGTATCGTTAACCTTTTTGCCCTTATAAACACAAATTAGGAGTGCTTTTTTATCTCCAATTTCGATTTGAGTATTTATGTCATCATTATATACGACTTTGTGTTTGCACTTTAAAACATCTTTCGTGCATTATATTATTTGAAAAACTCCTAAATAGGAGTGTAGAACATATACCCATGTTCCTCAAACAGACTCATTCATTCATTCATTATTTGAAAAGTTTTCATTGTTTTATTATTTTAATAGGAGTAGATACATAATATTTTAGAAATAAAACATACTTAGTCTTGTTTTAAAAAGAAAGCACACTGAATCATAATTTGAAAATTTTATTTTACATTCTAAGCTATGAAAATTTTGAAGGTGTGGCGGTTGGATGCGGATGGCAATCATTCGTAGCATACGTGAATGTGGGATGCTACTACATTGTTGGAGTTCCTGTAGGATCTGTTATGGGCTTTTATTTCAACTTAGGGGCAAAGGTAATTAGGATGTTTCCTTTCTTCATCCCAATATTAGTGTTCTGGACTCCAATTTTACTTACAACAATGTTTGATGTACCCACTCTTATACTCACCTTATACTCACCATGTTTATGAAGTGTTTTTTTTGTTTGTGAACCCGGTTCACAGACAATATTTTGTTTGTGCGAAATATTGTCTGTGAATCGGAGTTCACAGACTAAAAAAACACTTCACAAACATAGATGGGTACAAAAGTGTGTATAAGAGTAGGTACAAACATCATTTTTGTTTTACTTATACCTTAGAACTGTCTCCTACTGGTCGTTGGCGTGGAGGGAGGGGTAGGTGAGGAATTCGCACCTACCGCAAAAAGTCATACGCAGTAGAGAGAAAGGGACTCATTTGGATGTGGAACTAACGAAATTCTGACCATCATGCGAATTTATGATTTGTAGGGTTTATGGTGTGGGATGATTGGGGGGACAGTGATGCAGACCATCATATTATTGTGGGTCACCTTTCGGACTGATTGGACCAAAGAGGTAACGTACTTCGCATTGGCCTTTTGTGGTTTTTGATACACTCCCTTCACTCTGTAGCTTGTAGGTAACTTCCCCACCCCACCTCTTCCTTGTTTAAAAAAATTTGAAAAATGTCATTTGTACACATTATTTGTACACATTTATTGTACACACTCCTTAGTTGTCTGTGTACACAAGCAGCTCGTTCAGAAGTTCTTGTGTACACAACTGGGTGTGTACACATGTCTACAAATAATGTGTACAAGTAGCACCATCCAAAAAAATTTGAACTCAGAATTGGAGGCTTCAATTTTTAGTTGTTATTTTTCGAAATTTACACGATGTGTATACGCATAGAACTTTTTACTCTATGCGTCTCTTTCCCTCCTTGGGGAAGTCCAATATTTTTTGCTCATCCTTATTATTCAAGGAAAGGTTGTACTTGTTACGGAGTACTTTGTTAGTAGCCAGATAGAGTAATTCATTCATACGGACTATAAATTTGTATGATTGTACAGCAAACAAGTAGGACATTTATAAAAAAAACTGTGGAATAAGATAGTAAACGTTGTGTAATTGGGATTTTTGGAGAGTGAAATAATTTTGATCACTTATTTCCTACTTTAAATAAGAAAATTTCTATTATGCCACGGAGGGAGTATGAGATTTATACCAAATGAAATGAAAAGAAAGGAAAAGTCAAGCTTTATATTGAAACATGTGCAGGTGGAACTAGCACAGAAAAGATTGCATCAATGGGATGCAAAAAAGCAGCCCCTTTTGAAGAACTGAAAGGAGCAGACACAGAAAGGACATTGCATCTCCAGCTAAATCGCTGGTCAATTTGTTTCACCTCTTCCAATTGTCATGAAGGTTTAAGTATTAGGACTCGGAAGTATGTCGAATCCCAGGATTCGATCCAAAGAATTATCAACACATTTGTAATGGTTATCTTTTGTGTGTTCTGGCCTGATATCATGCTGTTGTTTTAAAATAAATGAGTTTATTTTGCTCCTGAGCTCCTGGCCTTTATTTGATTGCAACCATAAAGTTGCTTAGAGACAATTTTCTAGACTTGTTTCACTTTCACAATATAGCTGAAGTACCTTTTTTTAAAAGAAGCTGAAGTACCTATTGAAAAATGTAAAGTTATGACAAAAATAAATGCTCCGTATATAAATATATATATAAATAAGATAAATGTTTGAATCATGAGAAAGTAAAGTTGACAAAATGTTGACGTACATCAAAGAGTTGAATTGAAACACTATAATTAATTAATAACGTTTTGAATTAGTTAATCAATTTTAGATTCAATCATGTTAAGCTCTTCATCCAATTTGGATTACATGTGACTTATGGCCGGATTGATCAAGTTTCGGCTCATTTTGACGTAACATGATCATCAAACATTGTTTACATAAAGTGTTCCGAATGCCCCTCCATTATACGGAGTATTTTTTTGCTCATCAAAACCAACGTTTATATTAAAATCATTAGGAATCAGATTGTTACAGCAAAATCAAATGCACCAATCCTGAGTACATGACAACAAGTATTTCAAACTAACTAGCATAATCAATCATATGGCTAGACTCTGAGATGATCATCTCTGAAAGGGCAATACAAATCGCCAACAAACAAGCGGGTGTGACAGAACAATCACTGGTCATATTGATCCTTCTAACGACATAATATTTAGCAGAATTGACAATCATTATTGTAGACTTAAAACTAAGTCATCAACAAAAAAAGAACCACTGTAAACAAACATAACACGAAAATAAGATCATACAAACAACTGATAGAAACTCCAAACTCCTTCCTGACCGGTTTCTTGTAATATCATCTCGATCGATCCAAAGCGGTGGTTCAGGAGGGGGACGAACCGCCGATCTGTATTCTCGCTTGCTCAGCCATTCACCGCTCCTCGTCTGTTCATCACCTGTAGTTTCGGCTCCTAGTGCCATCCTTAGATTTTCCGATAGCCACCGTCATCCACAATTTCGCCATCCATGAAACTGTTGAGCCCTTACTCCGTAATTCCGCATAAGATTGATATGCGAAGCAAATAAAAAGCAAAGAGAAAAAGATGTGGTTTTTGGGAAATGAGTGGAGGGGATCTCTCTCAGAGATGTGGGGTTTGTGGACATTAGTTGACCCAACAATCATTAAGGCAAAATAGGAATAATAATGAAAATTAGTCCTATTTAGGATAATAAAAAGCACTCCTACTTGAGTTTATTCAGTTATCTTTTTTTTCATATCATTCTATAATTCCTCCTACTTTTTCTACGTTATTCTTTACCCCTATATTTTATATCAAAATGATGTGCCCAAATCTATTAATTTTGTACTCGGTATGAAGTTTTATGGAATATGTGCATGAGAATTAGATTAGTACCAAATATTTTTTCTAGAAGGTTGAAATGACCAGATCATATTAAATCAAATTAGATTATACCAGATTTAAATAAATCAGACTAGACTTGTTGGACTTAAACAATTCAGACAAATATGATTTCGAGAATTACAAATATTCTAATTTGCATCCATTTTACATTCCTGTTTGGGAAAAGGGGCAAAACCACCCCTAAAGTTGCCACAAAAAGAGATCTATGCCCAAAAACTTATTTTTTGGGCAAAAATCTTTAACAAACCGTAAAAGAGGGCAAAACCCCCCTTAACTAACCCAAACAAATTAACAGAACATGAAACCGTTAATGGCTTGTGGTGATATTATTTCTTTTAAGTTTTAGCTTGTGGTACATTGAAAAAAATCTGGAAGAGCTATCATCACATGCGCTCACCCACCCACCCCTTCCCAAAAAAAGAAATTAGATTAATATTATGTCGCATAGTTCCTAACTTTTTATAGGTGGTACTCCGTACAATTTAAATTTGTATAATGCTAGAATTTCTTTCTACTTGTTTATTAAATTGTTTTTGAAAAAAAACATAACTAAATGAATTGTGTAATTTTAATGTCACACAAATATATTGATAAAAAAAATGTCACACAAATATATGTATTCTTAATTGGAAAATTATCCTAAATAGGACTAAATTTAATCATATTTGCACAAATAGGAGTAAAATCTAAATCTTCTTTAAATATGACTAAACAATTGCAGTGGCCGGTTTGTAGGCGACACATATGTAGGCGAAGGAGTAGTACGTCATAGTTTTAAATATGACAGATTTTTGGGACAGCTAAGGTAGTATATAATAATGTCAAAGTGTAGCCCATATATACAATTATGGACACACATTTTAAGCCATTTATAATAAATCAAAAGTATCATACAAAGTATAAATATTGTAAACGAAACTAATAATTTTTAAGCGGGCCTCTGCCTACAGACGTGCCACCTACAAACCTGTCAGTGTCGCTCGGTCGCCGAAATCCGCCAAAGATATCCAGAATGCATCTGTCATCATTCTAACTCCACCGCCGGTTGCCGCCATCCTAGTTAGCTTTTTTCCGTTTTAAACGCGTTTTAAACACGTACCGTTTTTTTGACCAAAAAAACACGTTTAAAAAGGGGGGAAATGTGGGTCCGTTTTAAAAGGAAAAAAAACCCCTACTTCCCGTATAAAACGTATTTTTCCCGTATTTTACAAAAATCATAAACATGAATTGACCAATTGAATGAATGCACTAAATGCATAGAAGATCAACAATAGTGTAAAAGTAAAAATGAAAACGTCCTCCCCATGATCTCGTGTTTTTTTATTGTTACAATGCAATTATTAAATACTAAAATTAATTGCATGATGGCTAAAGCTAGCATCCTGAAATACTAAAACTTACGTAGTAATATACTACAAGATTTCTGATGTTTTTTCAAGCTAGCATATCAAAATTAAGATTTTTCTAAACTTACCGTTTTTTTAGCATAAACTTTTACACAAACAATAATAAGTGTAGCAATCACACAACTTTTGTCATATGTCATTTGTCATCTTAATGAAAATGATGAGTTTAACTTGAATGTTATTTGATAATCATATAAAGATAATGATTTTTTGACATTATTTTTCAAAATTATGTCTTGGACTTATTTACTGTTTTTATTTTTGTCATCGACTTATGCAATTACGAACTATTCTTGTATGTAGTAATGAGATTTGCTACTTGAATATGTGTATACTTTTATTTCTTTTTTTTACTACATATGTTATTTTATGAAATATATCATTTAAATGTTCAAAATAATACCCGTATTTTTCGTCCGAATTTTTGTAACAGACAATGTATTATACACGTATATGTATTTACACGTTTTTTAAAAGTCAACGTTTTTTTCAACGAATTTTTGACCGTTTTTCATTCATGTTACCGAATAAAACGCATACGTATTGAACCTCGTTTAATTCCCGTACCGTATTTAACTAACTAGGGCCGCCATCACCACAGGACTGTCCCATCACCAATGGACCGCCCCAATTATGTGAGGGAAGTAGGGGGCAATTACTTAGTTAGATTAGGGGTATTACAAATAGAAAGTTAATGTTTAGTCCTATTTAGGGAAAATTCAGATTTTATCCCTATTTGTGCAATTATGTTTAGGTGCAATCCTATTTAGGATTATTTCTCAATTCAAAATACAAATATTTGTGTGGCATTAAAATTATACAATACTTTTTTTTAACAAAAAATTACACAATTCTTTAGTTCTAACTTTTTCGAAACCCGTTTAATAAACAAGTAAAAAAATTGAACTATTCGAGCATTAGTACAAATTTAAATTGCACCGTCTACAAGAGTTAAGAACTAGCAACATAAATATATTTTTTTGGATAAACACACATGTTGATTTGGGGACCAAAACCTTCGAGATTTTTTCTTCAATATAGCACAATTTAAAATTTAAAAGAAATAATTTCAAACACACTAACATATACTCCGTAGGTTTTATCATTTATGTACGGCTTGTACAACAACTGAACAAATTTAACGTTTGCATCTTCCGTTAAATTGTTTTGGTTAGTCAAAGGGGTCTTTTGCCCCTTTTTAGGCTTTGTTTGCAACCACTTGTGCTTAAATAAAAGTATTTTTGGGGAAAAAGTGATTAGTAGTAAAAATTGGTAGTGTTTGGTAAAATAAGTGTTTTTTGTGTAATAGAAAAAGTAAAAAGTAGATTCTAAACAGAATTCGAGAAAGTAAAAGTTGGTAGTGTTTGGTAAAATAAGTGCTTTTTTCTTAAAAAAAAGTTAAAAGCACTTTTTTTAATAGATTGCAAACAGACCCTTAAAGTTTGTTAAAGCTTTTTGCTCATAAATTAAGTTTGAGGGCATAAATCTTCCTTGGTGCTAGGGATGTCAAAAAAATCCGACCCGCAATGACCCGCCCTGGCCCGAGACATTTGGGACGGGTCCGGCCCGTCCCGTCTTGCAAATGGGGCGGGTCCGCCCCGCCCCGCCTATACAATGGGGCGGCTCCGGGTCTTTTTATTGACCCGTGCTGCCCCGACCCGCCCCGACCCGCCCCGACCCGCCCCGACCCCGCCCCGCTCAATATAAAAGTGTACATTTTTTCTTAAATTATATTACAAATATACTTCAACATTCATATGTGTGTATACAATAAATATTAATTTTTTTTATCTTATAATATATATATATATATATATATATATATATATATATATATATATATATATATATATATATATATATATATATATATATATATATATATATAGGACTGCTCAGGTCCCTCCGGAGGGACGGGAGGGACCGTCCGAACTTTACTGTTTGGGGCGGTTCCCGGTGGAATTTTTTGATGAAATTTTTTGAGCATGTTCCTCATCAAGTCTAGTTTGTCCATACCAAATTTCAGCTCAAAATTCGACCGGGAAGGCAGTCAAATAAATTCTTGAAACATACTGCACTTTATATATGCGCAGAATGTGCAGTAAGCTTAAAGAATTTATTTGACTGCCTTCCCGGTCGCATTTTGAGCTGAAATTTGGTATGGACAAACTAGACTTGATGAGGAACATGCTCAAAAAATTTTATCAAAAAAAATTCCACCGGGAACCGCCCCAAACAGTAAAGTTCGGACGGTCCCTCCCGTCCCTCCGGAGGGACCTGATCTTTTCTGTATATATATATATATATATATATATATATATATATATATATATATATATATATATATATATATATATATATATAAGAATAAGATGAACAACGGATTATCAATGTATGCGTTATATATAGCATTTTAATACCTATGTTCGATTATTAATATAATTAAATAGATTAACTATTCAAGTCTGAGTAATTTTTCCTCAATTTTTGAAATTTTTAGCGTATCATGAATTTGATTTAATATATTAATTTTTAATTATTATTTAGAGATAAACTTTGTGTAGATTCAATTGGTAACAACTTCATACAAATAGACATACATATTAGCAAATTAGATTACGGCAGGGCGGGCCCGCCCCGCCTCGCCCCGCTCCGCATGGGACGAGTCACGGGTCAACAAGTTTGGACCCGTGCAGGTCACGGGACGGGGCGGACCCTCCCCGCCAAGTTATGGGGCAGGTCTGGGTCTTGCAGTACCCGCCCCGCCCCGACCCATTACCATGCCTACTTGGTGCCACCTTGAGGGGTGTCTTTGCCCCTTTTTCCTTCCTATTTTAGATCAAAACGGAACATCGGAAAAACAACATGGGAGCTCTTGTTAAGCTAACAGACCTTATAGTGTTCATCTTCTTCCTCTTGATTGCAATCGCAGCACCGCTTTTTGATGCCCAATGTATTCTTCCCCAAAACATTTTCCCCACCTTCGTTGTGGACCTGAAGGTCTGGTACACTCAAGAATATGGTGACTATTTGGTTTCCGAGAAGCCCCATTTCTTCGTCGGGTTGATCTGGCTTGAGCTCCTCTTCGCATGGCCTCTCTCTGTAATCAGTCTCTACGGAATCGCCGCTGGGAAATCTTGGGTCAGCACCACCTGCTTGCTCTATGGTGCATCCACTCTCACTTCCATGGTAAAATAATTAAGAAAGTTCCATTAGTTTTGCTCAGATTGGAATTCATTGTAGCCTTTGTTTCTTTTTGAGTAATTGTAGCTCTTGGGGTCCGTTTGGAACCCAGAAAATGCTAGGGAAGGAAAAAATATAGTGAAAAGTAGAGCTAGGGGAATTTAAATAAATGAAGAATCTTTGTATCATAATCTCTGCTTCTAAATTCCCTTGCTGATAAAACTAACAATTGCGCAATTAGACCTCGAACTACATGCCCTAGCTTATAGAAAAACATTTTTTCCAATAAAAATTACTCATTTAGACTGTTTTTTGTATTTCAAGATATCCATCCCATTGAATAGTGAAGGATTGATTATCATCTGGATTCATTTTTGCATTCATTGTAGTAATTAACAAGTAGAGTGGTTATGTGTGTAGGCTTACTATCTTCATAAGCTTATAAGCTAAAGATGTGTGAACTTGAAGGCCCCACTCACGTCCATGTTAAAGATGTGCGTTGATGGGTCCATGGCTAGGCTCACAGCTCGCTATTTTGCTATCAGCCTAAGCAATACAGCAGCATTAAATTACCAAGTTTCATTTAAATATTTCTTGATGAATACTGTTCTATTTCTTTAAATAGCAAGACAACTTAGTTTCTTATCATGAAATACTCTGTATCAATTTTTTGTTTAGTGGTAAACATATGAAAAATGAGTTACTACGTTTCTAACACAAATAGGCAAAAAGGTTATGTTTGTGGGTGTTGTGAGAGTAACACTTTCATATTGTATACTATCTATTTGTTGTACAGTTTGATATATTTTGAGACTTGACTAGTAATGGATTTGACTATAGCTCATATATAAACTGTTAGCTTGTCTACATTTTAACTTAAAGGCCCGCCCATTATTTCAGGTTGCAATCCTTGCCGAGCAAATGCAGTCCAACAGAGCATCAGAGAAGTTGCTGATGATGTACTACCCATTCTTAGGATTTGCTTTTTTAGCAATATTTCGAGGTCTGGTGCCGATTAGCAAGAGACCTGTTGTTGCATTAAGCAGGAAGAAGAAGGCTTGATTCTCTTGGTTATGAAAATGTTTGTTAAGTTTATTGTTTGGCATCGGGATTGAAACCAATTTATATAAAAATGTTTGTTAAGTTTATTGTTTGGTTTATTTTCAGAGTAAGTTTGATTATTTAAGAATGTGATTAAAATTATTTCGGGCTATGATTTTGATTAGATAGGTCACCGATGCATATGATGAGCACTGCCAAGTTGTATTTAGGAGCGGGCTTATCGGACTGAGGCGAGTCTTGTGCTTCTTACTTTTATTGTTATGATAATTGATAACAACAACTTTATTGCAAGCGTCGATGGTTATGCATTTCATTCATCTCGAAATTAGTTGTTTTTTTGCGCTTAAGGTGGTTTGATGATAATGTTAGTAATTCAGAATACCTGTAATTTATTGTTTGGAACTAAAATCTATATATTTTTTCAAACTACAATCAAAGTCTTATTTAAGCGCTGTAACCAAATTCAAATATGAAAATGTCAACATTCAGAATTCTAAAATCCTAAAATATATAGAAACCACAGTATGTAATACTTAGTAAAATTGTTTCAGAAAGAATCAGTATCTATTAGGTGGGTTATTTTGTTGATATGGTTAAAGGTTTGATCTTTTTTGTTAAACTATTATTGTAGTTAGTTGCAGGTTGAAATCCTTAGTCTTCTGTGTTGTATTGATTGTTGCTGGACCAACAAAAGTACTATCTAATTCTATAAACATGTGTTGTATGTCTGAAACCTGAGGTTATATGGTATGATCATCTAGTGAGTTTGATTTTTAATTTTTCGAACAGGATGATCAATTAAGTAATACGTAGTACGAGTTTAAGTGCCAAATGTGAGCGGATAAGAATGGGCTGGCGTTATGTTAATTCTTTGATTTATTTTCTTAGCGTGAGTTTAATTATTTGGAGTGTGTTTAAAACTGTTTCGGCTTTTGTTTTGGTTACATAGGTCATGGGTGCGTATGATGAGCACTATGAAGTTGGATTTCAGAGTGGGCTTAGAGCACTGAGGTGAGATAACAACTTTGTTGTAAGCTTCAGTTGTTATGTATTTCGTTCATCCTGAAATGAGGTGTGCTTTTGTCAGTTTAAGGAGGTTTATTGACAAGGTTAATAATTCCCTAATAAACTGTAATTTATTATTTATTACTAAAATGAAGCAGGCTCAATTATAACTTAATTCTAAATTTCAACTTACCAGGCTGTGAGTTTGGTGTTCATTTTTGAACGGGATGATCAATAAAAGTTTTATTCAATCGTTATTCGTTAAAACAAATTCTGATATGAAGAAAAATTATATTCAGAATCCTAAAATGTTATTTGCAACTTGTAAGTATTGTGAACTCTAAAAGGAAACATATGGTGCATACATATAATGCGGAGTATATTTTTATAAATCACATAAAAACATGGTGGTTTTGTTGAAGGATTGATTGAAAGAAAATCAACAGCAGTACGAGTTTTAGTTTAATTCAAGCCCATTGGCTTGGTTAACATTCATTCACACAAATTTTTATAGATATCTAAATATAATATTTTTACATATTAAATAAATAATTTTACCAAAGTTGGGTAGGATGTGGCACGAGTTGCCCTCCCCCAATGACTACACCCACGATCAAGCGCATTAACTTGATATAGCCTATTAGCCTTGGAATTATGCTATTGCATTTAATTCCACAACTGTTCTCAAGAAATCTAGAGTTTGTTAAAGTAAAAACTTAGACATTATTGGAATGAAAGACAAATTAAATAAGGAAGCAGTATGATAAGTATGAGGCAGCCTTAGAAGATTATGAGTGAAAGACACCCCTTTCCCAACCCAAATGACCCAATCCCACAAAGATTAAAAGATTATTGTACTTTTTCCAAATACAAAGGTTCAAAGCTCCCATATCATATCATCTTCCTTTGCTTCTTGGGTGGTGTGCTTTACAGTCTTGCCTTGGCAATCACCACACCCCCATCTCCCATGTCTGTTGTTCCTTGCCTTGTCCATGTTTCTTGAAACTGCTCCTCAGTCACCCCTGCGTTTAGAGCTCATTAATTTGGCCCTAAGTTGTTTACGGCAGTGTCCCACATCAGCGTAATGTTAATTAAATAATTAATATATCCTCCCTTAATTATTACTTGCATAGCATTCCTTTTATGATTTTTTGTATTGTTTCCTTAACTTCCTTATATGAGCAAGCTTTAGTTTTTACTATTTGAAAAATACATAAGTATCTCTACTCTCCATAATCTCTTTCTCATATTCATTACCCAACAATTTTATTCATTAAACTGCACATGTGGAAACGCTATTGGAGCTGTGGCGCAAATATAAAAACAAATTTGTTTGGCAAGAATTCCTAAATGATCAATTAGTATTTTAGTAAAAATGTATCTTATAGAGAGAATTCCCTAATATAGTACAGTACTACATATATTTGAAATCTTCTACCTCAATGCTTGGTATTTTTTTGGGTCCATCTGCTAACATTTTTCGTATAATTTTTCTATTTATTAATAAAATATATTTTAAATGTTTTTTCAATAGATTTGAGTGTTACCGAAGTGTGTCCAAGACAAAGTAACTAGATTATAGACACTACCTTTCCCCATAGCAGCAGTAGAGGTAATGCCCCCCTGAACAGTCCGGAGAACCCTGTCATAGTAGTTTGCACCCGACCATTTCTGATGAGCCAATGTGTCCACTCCATGCTTCCTCTCCTCCCTCTGTATCTTCTCCACATATGCCAGCATTCCCCTGGACGCGAAATCCTTGGCGAAGGTGTCCACAATGAGGGCGTCGGCGTGGAAGCCAGCCAGGGTGATGAACTGCCAACAGTACCCCAACTTGGCAATCCTGGGGATGAAATCCTTCATCTGCTCATCATTCATTCCAGATGCATCCCAGTTGAAAGACGGGGATAGGTTGTAAGCCAGCATCATCTCTGGGTGCACAGATTTCACTCCCACTGCGAATTTCGTGCATTCCACCATGTCCGGGCTGGCCGTCTCCATCCAGATAAGGTCGGCATGAGGGGTGAACGCCCACCCTCTGACAATGGCAGCCTCCACTGACCCTCTGAATCTGTAGAACCCTTCTCTGGTTCTCGGCAAGTCCCAGTCCCAGAACAGGCTGTTCATGCTCACTCCCAGCTTCTCCGCGATCTCCCTACCCTGTTCGTTTGCCAGGCATTTCTCGTACCTGGAGAGATTCCTCCATTCGTTCAGTCTCTTCTGCTTCTCCGTCTCCCCTATGTTCAGCCTACTGATTGCATCACCCACGTGTTCGGCGAATGTCTTCAGATGCGCCATTGATAGCCAGTTATCCTCAATGGCTTGGAGCTCCGGCCCTGTTTTTCCAGCGGCCATGGCCTCGGCCAAGACCGTCGCCAGGCCGCCCTTGCCTTTTAGGCTCGGGTTTGTTGCTCCCAAAATGAACTGATGGTCCCGGGTGTCGACATTGGTTTGGATCAAAGTAGCCGCCACGGCATCTGTACGTGCCACAAGCACGGTTTCGGTGCCCATTATGTCAAATTGCAGCCTAGCGGCGACAAGCCTGTTTATATGCTCGTTCACGGCAACCAGTACCTGATTAATTTATTGAATATATGGAGAATTATGTATAATAATACTTTAATTAGAGAAGTTTTATAGATCCATACTGCCTTCTTCAACTGAAATGGACTAATTTAGAAACTGATGAGCAAAAAGTATGTATAAAAATTATTCTGAGATATAAATATATTTCATTTTTATTCCTATTTTGAAAGAAACATACATACTCCAATTTTAAAACTTTATCTATATATTACTAATATTTTAAATAATTTCATGTATAGAAATTATGTGAGAAATGAATAAATTCTTTGAATCTCAAACATTCCATTATTGAATGAAAGTAAATTTTTCGTAACAATATATACCTTCCCGGCCATGTGTCCACACTTCTTGGTCATAGAGGACTGGTCCTCAATGTGGACCCCAGCTGCGCCGCGTTCCACGAACAGCTTGCAGAGCTTGACGGTGGCAGTGGCACCGCCAAAGCCTGTGTCTCCGTCAGCGATGATGGGTTTCAAGTAATCAATGAACGGAGTCTTGGCCCTCTCCTCTCTGCCCATGTTCATCCTTGCCTCCCTCTGCTTCCTGTCATGGTACTGCTGAGCAAAGAAGAGGTGCTGCACCTTGTTGGGGACGGTGTCGTAGGGGTAGTCGGCGAGGTCCGGGCCCGGCTCATTGGTGGAGGTGTGGGTGGAGGAGCACTGCCACCCGGAGACATAAATGGTGTCCAGATGCTTCGCCATCATCGTGACTTGGACCGGGTCAAGAGCCCCAAAGGTTCTTGATGATGTCCTGTTCGCTTGGTGGCTCTTCAGTGTCCTCCACAGCTTCTTTGCCATCTCGTCTGATCCGTAGCTTTGCCTCAGGTGGCCTCGAAGCGCCACCACGTCCCTTGCTGTGTATGGGCGGTGCGTCAGCTTGAACCTCTCGGAGTTCCACCATGCTTCCACCTCTGCCACCTCCTCCTCAAATCTCCTCTCTTCTTCCAATATCTGTACGCCGAACACAAATTTATGTATGATCCAATATCCAAATAGAAAAAATAAAGAGGAAACGTATCCTTAACATTTGATTGATGTGATTAGGATTTTCAGTACACCTTTTAAAATGTAATTACTTATACAGGAGTATTCAGGTCCGGCCAGGCCGGACCACTCCCCCCGTCCGGCCTCCTCCATTTGGGGGCCTTTCCGGTGTTATTTTTTGCTCAAATTTTTTGTGTAGGTTTCTCATCAAGTCTAGTTCATCCATATCAAATTTCAGTCAAAAATTCAATCGGGAAGATCGTCAAATGATTTTTGCAAGTTAACTAGTCCGGAATATGTATTTTCCGGACCAGTTAACTTGCAAAAATCATTTGACGACCTTCCCGATTGAATTTTTGGCTGAAATTTGGTATGGATGAACTAGACTTGATGAGGAACCTACACAAAAAATTTGAGCAAAAAATACCACCGGGAAGGCCCCCAAATGGAGGAGGTCGGACGGGGCTCCGGTCAGGAAATTCCTGACCGGAACAGCACTCATTACTTATAATGAAGAGTGATGATTACACACATATAATTACTTATAATGGTATATTTTCATCCAAATAAAGGGTTGTTGGGATCTGATTATGAAAACTGCTTTTGCTCCTTTTGGGAGCAGAAGCAAAAGTTGGAGTGTTTGGATGAAAGTGCAGAAATGATTCTGGTACTCAAATTTACTTCTAGAATCAGTTTTTTTAGAAGCTGGGGATGACCAGCTTCTGAAAACTGATTCTGATTCTGCTTCTACTTTTAAAAAAGAAGCAGAAGCGGAATCAGTTCCAAACACCCCTAAAACTAAGTTTTTTTAAATTATCTATGTTTGATGGTGTTATGTCATATGTATGGCCTGGGCAGTTTTTTAGCTCCTAACTTTATCAATTCGGTGGTAGTTGTAGTGTCATGCTATTAATTTAAAACTAAAATGATCTTACATCAGCAAAGTCGTAATATCTTTCTCACAAAAATCCATATTATTATTATTATTCTCTAATACAGTTTTTTGCCTCTAGCTAGTAGATGTAAAAGTATAAAAAGAAAATGAAAACATAGAAGATATGTAGTATATGATAAAATAGCATAGAAAAATTACAGCAATGAAAATTACATAAATAAGAAAATATATATCACAATAAACAGAACAGAAAATAAAATACATAGGAAGTATCTATTTTAAAGTTTAATGCTAAGTGAAGGGACGTGTTTAATACTATTTTTAAGTGAAATATATACGTCATGAACAAATGCTCCATGGCTCGTGATAAATCAATATTAGTGAAGTTATAGTCTTATAGATATACATGTACAAAAAACGTTAAGAATCAATCTATCCTAAAAGCAAATACTAATGACATTTAAAGATATTAGAGAAATCTCATCTAGTTTTATTAATACTCTGTATTTTTTTTCTCATGCGAACCGAGTGGCTCACAATCTTGCAAGGGCTGATGTTTCTTTGTTTGATCGATATGCTTGAATTTTTAGTAATCCCTCTTGCATTATGGCTTCTTTGGACCATGATTCTATTAATGATTACTCCGTATTAACTAGTTTTTCTTAAAAAAAAATGACATTTAAAAGTTTCCCAACACCCTAATACTTGTATGATTGTATCAAAAGATGGAATAGCCCCTCCCCAACAGCCTCACCGTGCAACATGATAAACTAGGTGAGGTGAAATTATGGTGACGCAACTAGTCCAAATGTTAAACTAATATTTGATGCGGACAAGGAATCCCTTCATTTAAAGGTAACCCCACACTAAGGCTCACAAAATTGGAATTTAGGTTCTTAGTCAAATCTTCATCTCTAAAATCAGCTAAGGTGTGGAATGCCGGTACATACAGTACTCCATTATTCGTCCCTCGGATCAAACTTAGCAAAGTTTCGAGGGACCGGAAGAAGTAATACTTAGTAAGCGGCAAGTCAGTAACTACAAATGCGTAGAATCCATAATTGGACCGGGTCAATTTGACAATTGGTCATGATCACAAATATGTGAAACCATTCTGTACTAAATCAGTAAAAAAGAATAAGTGTGAGAGATGGACAAAGACAGGGCTATGTACCATTGAAGGTGCAGAGAAATGTGAAGCCATTTTCAGAACTCCGGACTGAAAAAAGAAAACTACTAGTATATGTGGAGCTAGTTCGTAGAATGTGAAGTGGATGGATTATGGCCATGAGGTTAGGGCTTCAATTTATAGATGCAAGGTTATGGACGGCATCTATTTTTTTTATAGAAAAGATCCAAAGGATGGCTACATCATATTCTCATTTAATTGGAAATTGGAATTATCTCCTATAAATAAATTGAAATTGAAATGATTGTGAGTGGAGGAGACATATATATAACGAACGCAGCCTTATCGGCCAGGTTGGGGAGATCGAGGCAACGGCAAATCTTCGTCGTTCAATTCCGCCATGTCCATAACATAACATTTAAAGTATTATATATATACACATAGATAGATGATGGATAGTTGCTTCTTCTATCATGTTTATTAATTTGTCCTTTTCCTTATTGTGATCGTGATGAGCTTGCCTGCTTCCCGGCCCATATCTTCCTCCTTACGTAACTATATACGTAAATGGGCAATGCCGATAAGCTTTTATGATCTGAAAAGACCTCATTTTGCCACGCACTCCATTTTTGTATAATAACTGATGATCGAGTAAATTCAAAGATCTATGTATCTGTATATTTGTACCCCGTAATATCGCCCCTTCTTTCAGACAAATTTAAAAAATGTGAATGGTGGGTACGTACCTCGCTAATTAAATATGGAGTATTGTATTTATAAATTTAAAATAACCACATTGTCTTGGGATATTATAGATTTTTCCTTGAAATCTTAGTTGAATTAAATTGACGTAATGGGAACTCGTTCAATATCAAACTATTTAATATTTAACATCTAACTCCACTTTTACATGCTTAAATGTGTTCTTGGTTAATTTAAATACAACGATATAGCTACTCTCCGACCCATAAAAAATTCAGATTTATTTAAATTATTGGAGGAAATAATTCATATAAAAAATTCATTTTTTGCACCACCGGCTCATACCAATATACCGCCCTACCTTTGTTTGCCATTGTGCAAATATAGTGTTTCTTATTACTCCCCCACCAATCACCATGCAGTCATGCATATCAAGCTTCATTTGACAGCGAAACAATTTTAACTTATAGGTTTCCTGTTAGTCCGTGTCATTTCATTCAAAAATATGTTTTTTTAACACTAGCTGATCTCGAATTCGTTGGTGTAATCTTGCCATCTTGGACTCCCAAAAATCGGCCTTAATCCTTGATTCTTGAAAGAGCTAAATTTAAGTCGCTCAAACAATCCGCCAGATTCTTAATGTCCATTTAAACACCACCACACATAACTACATTAGAAATTGTTCTTATTTAATTGATTGATATCACCTGTTCACAGCTTCTAAACATTGTTCCTATAAGAATCATCACTGATTGATCAATTGATCAAATGTCGTTAGGTTCTTAGGAGAAGTTTACTCACACAATGTCATTTGAAGAATTGAAGTAAGATGAAACATTGATTCAAATTAGTTCCAAGGGCTACAAGATCACTTCATTTATTTGTCAAACTGAATTATAAATTAATAGACTAATAACCTAATACCTGAACTTGGTGATCATTCACTAAGTTCAGTTATTACAAACCATCCAAATATGCAATAATTTTAGCGAGCGTGTCACGGACTCCCTAATGAGCACGTAGCCCCCTTACAGTGTATCCTAAAAACTAGTTAAGTGAAGCACTAAATTATTAGTTGTTTTAGAGAATCACATCATTATATTTTATAATTCTTCCTCACAACTTAAAATGATTAGATCACTCATCTCGTTCTATTAGTTAGATTAGATTAAAAGGTATGCAACTCAACATGATTAATTACTCTTTATTCAATTTTATTATTTCAGAAATCAAATAATTAATTAACATGATTAATTCCTAATCTTTTTTTTTAAAATCAAATAACTAATTTATGATTAAACGATAGCAAAGATACAAGAGAATGAATAGCCTAAGGCTACAATGGGATGAGACGACATAGAACGGAACAGATTTAATGAATCATTCCAGATCGCTAACCCCGCAATAATGTAGTCTAATCTAACAGCCTTGTTGCTCTTCTTGCTACTCCAAAGAGAAAATAAAAAATCACAAATAAAAGATCTGGTTTCACTGGCCACCGGAAAGGGAGAATTGGTTTGACCAGCAACCAACAAAGGAAAATCAGTCGAGCAAATTTTCTGAAGCATCGGTTTGACCAGCCACCGAAAAGGAGATCCAATTGATCAACTTCTTCTTCCTAGAGCGAGGCGGTGGTTCAGGTGGTGGGCGAGTATTTGCAACATCGGAACAACAAGGTTGAAAAGTCTTTACCAACCATGAATATGTTCCAGATCAGTTACGCCGATTAGAAACACACAACCTCTAGACATTGCTAAGATAATAACATACCACACGCTCACATGAAGCGGACAAAATTCTCGGCCAATGAAGAAGCCGGACCAAAATCCTCGAAAATAGAAATTTTAAAAAAGCGGAAGCATAGAAAAACCTTTGATTCGATCTTTCACTGCATAGAGAATGTCACTATCTTCCAAAACTCTCTGCCGATTGAAAAGAAAAGGTTGAAAATCGGATCTTGAAGGAGGTTGAGGATGGCCGCCTACGGTTTCCCCTAGGGCCGGCTCTCCAAAAGTTCGCTACCCGTGAGTGAGGGGTTTTCTTGATTTAATAGTTAAATGAAAGAAGAAGACTGATTAATTCCTAATCCTAAACATGTTTCTATGAGAATTCTAATATATCTACAGTAGATTACTGTTATCACATTCCAACTTGCGGAAAAGAGTCACTATTCTTGAGCACAAGCTTATTGCCAAATTTTCTACTCAATCTATACTTAGCACTTTTCAGTTCTCCTTCTCGATTTCTACTACCCTGGATCGGGGAAGCCATCAATTATAATTTGATTTAACAATTTCTTTCAATCCCAATTTTACTCGCAATGATCGATTGTAAGTTCTACTAGGCTAAATGAAATTAAGGACATTCTTATTTACACTAACTATAGCCACACATAAGATCAAATTTAAACATACTAGATAAAAAAATTAAGACCTGAACAGACTACACAGATCAAACTAGATTACACCAAACTAAACATATTAGATCAGATCTAACATCACTACTAAGGGTGGGCACGGTTCGGATAATTGATAATTTTTCAAGAACTGTCAGTTCCATTTAACGGGTAGGTTTGATCCGGGTATACCAATTTTCGAAATAGGAACCGGACCTTAATTACCCGCCCTATTTGAAAAGGGCCCATTCGGTCCGAGTCCTAAGTTCTTTTTAAAAGAAAATTCTTTTAATTAACTAATTAATCATGTTAATTAGTTATTTAATTTCAGAAACAAAAAGAAAAGAATGAAAATAATTACTACGTAGTTTTTTGAAAGATGCATCCCTTTCAATCGTAAAGAGTGAGAGGCGAGATCCAATTGGTTTATGATGTTAGCCAGAACAAAATATAATAATTTGATGGTGCCGTTTAATTAATTTATTTCGGGTATGACACTATGACCTAATGACCGTATGAGTTATATGCATTTGGTAAAGGGACTACGTGCTCACTAGGGAGCCCGTGACATGCTCCTTAAAATTCTTGTCCAAATATGAGTATCTACATACTAAAGCATTTTAACTCGGAATTAAAACAAAAAAAAAGAATAATATAAGAATTACAAAATATAAGAAATAAGATTATTACTCCGTATTTAATAAAACAAAACAAAATATAAGAAATAAGATTATTACTCCGTATTTTATAAAACAAAGGAGAATAATCAAACCTAAAATTAGACCATTTATCATTCCATTAATTGGAGAAAAAAGGCATATCATATGGGTGTGTGGGTGGCAGGATTTTGGGGAAGAGCGTTCCAGCTCCGAATTGAAAACGCCTAAATAAGTTATGATGTTAAAACCGGATAGAGAGGCGACTCGGACAAGCAATCAGGTCAAGGGTCAACTCGGATCCGGGATGGTCAGCCCGGTCAATGATAGGTCAACCCAGTTAACGTGTATTGAAAAATAGAAGATATTATAAATATAATATACAATATTAGATTAAAGATTTATGCTGAAAAACAACTCTCATTCAAAATTTGATGATGGTTATAAAATTGAATTAAAAATTAATGTATCACTATATAAAATAGAATTCATAAGTTTAAGACGTGTTTGGAATTAAATGGATAATTTGTCAAAGTAATATTTTTATAAAAAAATTATAAAAATAATTGATAAACGTAATCAATATTTCATAAATATCTAATAGTTTACTAATTTAATAATTGCATCCAATACCAAAAATAGATACTATTATGATTACAAATTAATATCAATAATTGTAGTTAATATTAATAATTGTATGACATATAAATGCAAATTTAAAGAATTTTAACATCAACCAAATGGTTGAGTTGGTTCACAGCCCACCTACATGAGAGAGTTGCCAGGGTTCGAAACCCCCTTGCTTCAATCTTTTTAATGAAGCAGTAGGATTTACTATTAGGCTCTGTTTAGTTTATATCTAACAACATTATAATTAGGAGTGGGGGTTAGTACCCCTGATTTTTGTCAACACATTGGATGCATAAGGTGTTGTACCTTGTTATTAGAAAGTGGAACCTATTTTTCCGGTTGGCTTCTTTACCCTTGCATACAGTGAGATTTAACTTCCCCGTTAACTCAGGCAAGCCGCATCTGCTGCCTGCTTCGTCGACTCGTCGTTGGGGAGACCTAACAAACGGGAGAAAAACCAGCCTCAGAGCTTCCGTCGATCATTCATCTGCTAGCTCAACTAATGGTATTAAATTTCTCTTTTGTTATCGTGCTTCTTGCACGCCCTCTGCCTTAATCTGAACGACCTGTTCTTCTTCTATTCCGTTCAGATTTGCTTCCAGGTCATGGTTACCCAACAGCTCGTTGGAAATTCAAGGGTCGTGCACTTGTGCATATGGCTATAAATAATTCGTGCCTCAGCTGACCACATTCGGGATTTCTTATCGTGGCTTAGTCCTGTAAGTTTTTCAATATCTTGTCATTCTATTTGATTTGTGCTTAATTGCAGTACTAGTGTTTGCCTGATTTGTGTATGTGGGTGTAAATAATACTAGTACTACGTAGGTAGCAAGGCAGAATCTCTTCCTGGCCAAAAAAACCCAAACCCGATTCTTTGATTTCTGATTTTGATTGTTAATTAACGTTCGTAATTAACGTGGTAACATTATGATTACAGAGGCAGTTAATTGGTTGTTGTACAGTACGAAGTTGTCTTTCATTTGAATCAAAATAATGAGATCTTTGAGTTATATGGACTAAGGAATACACATTTTGACTTTGTCGTGCAGTACAAAATTTACTTTTACCACCCGTGTTATCCCAACTCCCAAGAGTATAAAGGAAAACTGAATTCACATTGTGAAATGTGAAGTATATTTTATACTCTTTGTATTGAAGTATATTTTCTATTCCAAAGGAAAACTGAATTCACATTGTTGTATTAGAAAGTTTTTTTCATTCTCTTTGTGCCCACAACTCCACAAGTATACACAACTATTCTTTTATAATACTCTAAAAAAAACTATGCTTTTTAAAATTTATGCTTATGCGTTTTTACACCTAGCAACCTACTAGCAATTGGTCTTACTCCTACTCCCTATATTACTAAGCAGGTAAGCGGTTTTCTAAGATTAGGTTTCAGTACCCTCTTTTCTTTTCGTTGCATTGCCTCATATGAGTAGCCGAAGACCCTTACGGTGTAGCTTGGATCAGGGAAAAGAAATGGTGCTACTGAAAACATGGTTCAATTACTTGTGCATTATTATGTTCCTTGGTTAAACAAACTCTATATTTGAGTCTCAAAGTTCCTTCTGCTTATATTTCACTTTACCATTTATGTATGATAAACAGGTTAGGCTTGCCCTCATGGATTTGCATTCAGTAAAGGACCTGTATGATAGACTTCGTCGGTTCTTTTCCTCATCGGTTCTGTCATTATATATGTATTTCCAACCCTGCTCAAAGGAAACATTTATATTTTATACGAACAGTTTTAACTCTTTTCTTGGATCTTAGAAGGGTTAAAACTATAGCTAGGAAGGATAGGAGTCTATAAATGTTTCTTGTTTGGTAGGACACAACCTAAAGGAAAACATTAAATTTTGTTTGCTTGTTTCATGCATCAAGAATCCATCAGTTCGCGTATTGTTTTTTATATGTTTGTTGTACTAAATCATGTCTGCAAGAATGATATGTAGTGTGGATTAATTGCTTTATGAATAATATTGTAATGCCACTGTATAAAGATGAAAAGTTCAGGGAGTTGTATTGATCTTGGATTAGCAAATGTTTAAAATTCACCAATTGTTATTCTTTAGTTTTTAAAAGAAACCATACGTACCTATTTAACTTAACTGATTTTTCAATTATTTTTTGTTTGCCTTTTCAAGTGTGGATAATTAGCTATTTTAAATAGTTTGAGATTCTTCACAAAGTTCTTTACAAAAAAATAACATTACTTTGATATTGGGCAAACGCTCTCGCGCCTTGCGCGAGCAAATGCTAGTAATAATAATAATAGGAGCAATATAGAAAATTTGGGCCCTCAGAATTTACAGACCCTGTACGGTTGGGCCGGCCCTGCCCAGCAGGCGCGAAACGTAGAAAACACACATCGAGCACATGCAGGTACAATACAAGTATCACATAAAAAGAACAACATTACTTAAAAATATTTCTCACGGAATTTTCAAGATTCAATTTCTTAACAAACCCAAAAATTTCCATTGGTCCCTTCTAACTTAACCCTATCTTTTCTAATCTTCTTCTCTCTCTTTATCCCAACTTGATTCAACAATTTTATCAAGAACAATTTATTGATCATGGATGAATTGTTTGAAACCTTGAAAGAAGAATATTTTGGTCACCGACCAACGTTTGTGCTCCTCGATTGATTGACTTTAGATCTTAATAAACCGCTGAGTCACTCACTGCTTTGCAACGTTCTTTGTTTTTGTTGATATTGGAATTTGGAAACAACAAATCAATTTGTACGGGCTTTGCGAATTGAGACTTTTGGACTTGAGAGGCCTAACATAACTTCATATACGTTTGTAATTAAAAGGATTATAAAACTTAGAGATTCGAAGAGAATTAAGAGAGACATGTCACTTTACATTTATTTAAAAAATTAAACCTTGAGCAATTAATTGAGCTTAAAAATTAAAAAAAGAAGTCTACTCACACTACATACAAAGAAATATTTTTGGGCCTACTTTTCCCCCCTATTTCTTGGGCCTAGGGCGGTCACCCCTGTTGCACCCCCTAGAGCCGCCCCTGTTCTTCAGTCACAATTGACGGCCAGACCAAACAGGTCGGCGATGCAAGCAAAGCAGGAAAGGGGGTAAAGTAAAGAATAACAATAGATTTTCACACATATTTGTAGGCATCCCGTAATCTAGGGTATTTATCGCTAATTTACATGAGCGAGAACCTGAGAGGGGTATCTTGACTTACCTCGACATGGAGGTCCGTCGCAACGGATGGTGGTGGAGGATCTCCCAGGCAGCAAGCGAAGGTGTGAACGACACGAAGATTCGACTAATAATATCACTGTAAGGATTTCATTTCTCCAGCTCAGACCACATTCCACAATTCACACAAAGCACCACCACCAAAGGACCGATAGAATCACTCAGACTAGCCTAACCATCTCAACGCACACAACACATAACCGAAGTGAACACACATCAAGGAGAGCACACATGAAAGAACGACTGAGAAGGCGTCTGTTAGATAGAGCTCTCTCTCACTCTCTTTCTTACCACTTTATTATGGCCTCATAGAACTTTGTGAAACCGGGGGGCCGGGCGTAGCTCACCTGGTAGGAAGGGAGTGCCACAAGAGAGATGTCTCAAATTCAACTCCAAACAATGATTTGGGATGGGATGCCATCTTTTTTTATAGTACTTTGTGAATTATCGTTCATTAATTACTTGTAAGTTCTTTGTGATAATACATATAATTGTATGGTTATAATGAATGATGTGGTTCCCTTGCTCCATGTCTATTCGTGCAACGTACTATCTTGAGTTAAGAGGTTGAGAAGCCACGTTAAATTAGCTAGGTTTGCCCGACTAAACCATTTATTTATCCACTGTTAACACTTTATTATGACCTAGCAATCCACTCTATTCTCTAATTAGCCCATTTGTCATTGATGACGACCCGATCCTTAAGTGACTGATATGTTCATATGTTAAGACACGGAGTTCCATCCTAAAAGGTCAACCTGATAGGAGGAGTAGCCCATATGTTAATATAACACTTTGTTCATCAAAACATTTCCGGTGTGGGACATTTAACACCCCTCCTCACGACCAGACACTTTGTCTGGATCGTGCCGTCATTCATTTTTTCACTGATTCGTCATTGTCATATTTTTTTATAATCATGTCTTCATTTTTCATGAGGGGGCCCACATTATGGATCGATTTGTCTTTGATACCATATCATGTTAAGACACGGGGTTCCATCCTACAAGGTCAACCTGATGGGAGGAGTAACCCATGTGTTAATATAACACTTTGTTCATCCAAACTTTTCCGGTGTGAGACATTTAACATCATATATCTAGGTGTTGTTCTTTATAGCCACCATTTAACAAAATAAATGCAACTGATCGAAGTGTATAATATAATACTCAGCTCCCTCTGTCCCTTAAAACTTTGCCAAGTTTGACCGCTACGGAGATTAATAAAGTAAAAATTGTGTGGTTGATATTTGTGCAGAGGAGAGAGAATTAAATGGAATCACAAATTTTTAACTTAAAAGGGAAAGTGACAAAGTTAATGTGACATCCAAAAAAAAAAGTTGGCAAAATTTTAAGGGACGGAGGGAGCAATAATGATGAAGTACTACTTATTCTTGTCGAAACAACTGCATGTACCATTTTGATAATTTTCTCATAAAAAATATTTGAAATATGTTTTTTTTAAATCAGTAGAAACAGCCAATATAGTCTCTTTAGTAAGAGCTTCATAAATTTCAGCAGAATGAGTCAATTCAGCCGATTTCGAGCTCTTAGAATAATCAACATTTTCTTTATTACCCCTACAAGGATTACTAAAGTCTAAAGGCAAATTGGATTAATGCTTCAAGAATCAAGACGACTTTATTTTTTTACGGAGTTCGTAGCTGAAGCTAGTCTCTCACATATGTTCTCCACAAACATTTATCAATTAGGAGAAGGAAGACCGAATCGAAAAAGATGCACGGAGTTGACGAAGTCAAATGCACAATTAATCATTTTGGACATCTATCATTTTCAAAGACCGCGTAAGTTTACTCAAATCAAGGTTAAATTCAAGATTAAAAAGTGGATTTTTATGCTACACAATTTCTGTGGTAAATATATAACCAAAAGTTGGGTTCAATTCAAAGAAAATTTCAAGAATAGTGGAAATCACCTAAAGTGGGCTTATTTCATGTTATCATGTAATTAAATTTTGAAAATGAATTCCAATACTCAAGTCCGAGTTGATTTTCACTATTTCAGAATATCGTTTTTTTATCATCAAATCCAATAAATATATTAAATCAAAATAATGTTTGTCACATGACTGATACTACAATAAAGGAAAAAGAAGTAAACAAAGTGATAAAAAGCCTTATGTCTGCCGTCCGCCCTCGAATCAGACTTAGAATTGATCACCTCTGTGGCTCTGTATAAGCAATAATATTCGCAAATCCTGTAATGGGCTTAACTGAGTTAATGACTGGCAAACCAGACTTCTCATCACCTGACTTAAATTCTAGAATCTCTCTGCTACAAAATAAGAACACGTTCAAAATAACATGCAATCCAAAAGAAAAACACAAACATAATAAAACGGAATTAAAACAGAGTTCACCCATCTTTTTCCAAACCCTAGACTTTCTTGCACTCCATGGCGGCGGCTCAGGAGGGGGACGCGTCCGCCTCTCATCCTCCTCAATAGTCATGCTTTTGTATTGATTGACGATATCCTCCTTTGACATCCGTTGCTGCTGAATCGAAACCATACTCCGCCACAGCTTGTGCACCTTTTCTTTGTCAACACTCGACCTTTGACCAGAAACAATAGCGCTGCATCCCTGGTCTCGAGCTTGCTTGCACAAACGAAATCTACATACGGCCGCTCTTCGTCGATGACAAAAGCAGAAGAAAACGAAACCCTAACTCGTAGGGTGATGATGACTGCTAGAGAGAAGACTCTCCAATTCCAACAATTGGCCGAAAAACCAGCCCCACTCCTCGGCAATGGCCGATTGCGGACAAACCAAAGCTAGTGTTTACCTTGCGGCAACCCTAGAGAGAGACACATTTGAGTAGGAAGACATTAAAACTTGAATAATATTTCAGAATATCGTTGAAAAGTGGATGTCACGCACTTATGCTAGAGAATTTTTCTTTGAAATGGTAGAACTTTCTTTATAGCCAAATAAAGTCTAATGTCTTGCGCATGCCCCTATTTTACATTTTGGTACGTTAAAGTTTGCAGTAAAGTAGGGGCATGCTCAACACAGTACACTTTATTTGGCTACCAAGTTTGTGGTCTTTTTATAATACTCCCTCCGTCCCTGGCCTAAAGAACTTCCAACTTTTCCTTTTCGTCCGTCCAAAAAAGAACTTCATTTTCCCTTTTTGGCAAAGAATTTGTGGTTCACAGCATTTCTCTCTCCTCTGCACAACTCTCCACCACACAATTCTCACTTTCGTAATCCGCGTGCCACTTTATTTTGGAAGAACATTTAGGGACGGAGGTAGTATAAATCTTTGAGAAAAGTTTGCAGTAAATAATCTTTGAAAAATAGAGTTTTTATATCCAAATGGTTAAATTTTTATGCATTGAGTAGCAAACTACAATTGAATTCAACACTGTTCACATTTTCTATATTGAGTATGTTTTACGGAGTATTTATTAATGTATCATTTGGTCAATTTGTGTTTGGAAGTTAAAATATGGAGGAACGATTTTGTAAAGTTTTTGTAACCTTCATTTAAGTTTCTCTAAAATGAGAGAGTTCGAAGGATAACTAATTAAATGATAATTCAAGCGTAATTTAAAATATATATCAATTCAACTATTTGAATTCATCATGTCTCAGAAATGAGTGTAATTATTATTCCTTGTAAAACTTTCTTTTTTAAAATTTATTACTTCCAAATAAAAGAAGAATTTTCTCGCCTTTTCTTCCCTTCAATTCCCTTGCAACTATTTACCTTCAAAATCTTTCCTCTCTTTCCCTCGAAACTCCCAAACATACCCTTAGCCCATTTGTCATAGGATGTCATGACGATACTTCTTAAGTGACGTGTA